GGCGTCTGTCTTGTGTCAGTGACGTAAAAGACGGATTTAATGCGACATGACCATTCAAACAGCAGTTGCTTTCTAAAACATCGGATATGTATCGGATTCAGTACCACTTACGAAAGTGACCTTGATCGGATTTGTGCCGTTCACACTGTCATACCATGATCGGATATGGGTCGCATAGGGTCAGAAAAGTCGGATTTGATGTGCTGTCGCCTGCAGTGTGAACGTAGCCAAAGAGTGAATAGTAGACTCTCACTAAATTGTGTGTGAACAGAGATATTTTTCATCTCTGTTCACAATTTTCTGGATTTCTTTTTTTATAAGACTAAGACTGAACTTTATTTTTCCATGTTTGGCAATGTTCACATTCTGTTTAACTTGTTGCTTTTTTGAAGAAGTGATGCAGACTAATGAATCAGTCTAGTGACAAAAGTTACAAACAGTTGTTTGAAATGAAAGCTGTTTGTTCAAAACAGAAATTACAGAAGGATTTATTGTGAATGAGTTTATTATCTAAATAAATTTGCTGCTAGGCTTTCTGTCATAGTTTTGTTTAGATGGAAAATGAGAAGGATTCCTGCCATGTGGGGAATGATGTAAAAAGTTTGAGAATAACTGGATTATTGCAATATCAAGTTGTGCCTTTTTCTCAGACGGACAGCAAGTGGAGAGTGATAGATGAGATGAGGAGATGGAAGGAGGAAGAGAGGCAAAGAGTGATTCACATGCAGAGCCGAGTTTATTTCTCACTTTTGTTGCCTTATGGTTTCCAAGCACTGTCGCCAATCTTTGCATTTTATTATTATCTCATAACACTTGTTCAATCAGCTACCATTTCTCCTGTGGACTTTCTAATGTCTACAGTCTCAGATCAGCACAGCCCTGCCCTCCAGCACTATCAGCAGCAGGAGCAGCAGCAACATTGTACCCATCAGGTAACACATAGACTACGTTTGCTTTGCATTGTCCCTACCTGATGACACTGATATAGTATGATATGATCCCATATTGGATTCTTGGACAATTTACAGTCTATAGGCACTTCTCAATCAACACGACAAATACTAGAACTACTGATAGCTGAATAAAAGGGAAAAAAAGTAATATCTCACAGAATCCCACAGAAAATAAAAAGCAATATCACAACTGAATGAGAAACATGCCTGATTAGCTACATCAGAATTTTTTAAAATAGCCAGTGCTGGTGCTTAGTTTAGGAACAGATGGTGCAGCTGCTGTGATGATTTATTATAGGGGTAGCCACAATCCAAAGCTCAGTCATTCCAAAGTAATTTGTCAGTGAAACAGGATGACATCTGTGAAGGGTCTTTTTTCTTTAAAACAAACTACGTTTTTTTTTTAAATTGTGAAACAAAATATTTGACTAACAAAAAATACCAAAGGACAATAAAGTTTATGGTGCCTAAACCTAGTGAGTTTAAGTGAAAGTAAAGAGCAAGTAAAGAAGGGAATTTCAATAGAAAACAGTTCCCACAGGAAACAAACCAGGACGTGTTTGGCAGTTAACGGGTGGTGTTATGTTTAAGTAGCATGGGTGCAAAACACAGTTATGCTGCTCTTTGATCACACCGTGAATGAGGCTTGTAGAAAAGGGACAGAACATGACACTGAGAACAATGTGAATAGTCTGTCAGTAGACGATCTACACCACTGCCGCCTGCTAGATTGTGTATATTATGTATGTATTTGTATGAATTCTAGCTGTGCCAGCTGGTTTAGAATTTTACAGTTTAGGAGCATCCTGTGTCGAATCTGTACAAATACAGTGACCATTAGAAATAAGTGAGCATCTGAAGGTACCCCTTTATTAAAAAAAACCCCAAAAACCAAGAGGTTTTTTTTTAAAAGCAATACTTTTACTCTACTGCTAAGGAATATCTTTCTCATATGATAAATGAAATGAGCTGAATTCTGGTGAGAACATCAAAAATATTTTAGGATTAAGACGTAGTGAATTGTAATGATGTGTATATTTGAACAAATACACCTAAATATTGTTTGAACATATTTAGATAAATTCCTGTGTTGTTTTCAGAGCTTTAAATTTTCCAAATTTCATCAAAACTCAGTTAATACAGTTGCTTTGAGTGTACCTCCCTTACTCCTAGGTACTACTTTATCTGCTAAACAACTGCTACCTGACTGTAGCTGTTTCTTTGGGGCTTTTTAAAAAAAAAAAATAAACAGACATCAGTGATTTATGTGATACCAACCTGTACCACTGTGTGCCAGTCAAATCCGCATTTAACCAGGTAAGTCACAGCCTCTTGAAGAAACCTGAGGTGCTGAAAAGATATTGCAAAGGTTAACAGAACACCAGCACTTGATGGTACAGATTACTTTAATATCCCAGTCTATTTTTTAAAAGCACATTTAAAAGCACATTTAAAACTAAATGTACATATAGAAAATATTAAAAGTATATAAAAATACTTTTATATAAAAGTATAAAAGTATATCAATATTATATAAAAGTATATAAAAATATAAAAAATATTAAAATATTAAAAGCAGTTTTTCATCAGTCTAACATCAGAGGAAGGGGAACAAACTTGCTGCCAATCAAAAAAGAAACACACACACACACACACACACACACTGCTAAGGTATCTTTTATTCTGTGCTTTATTATATACTTTACATTCAAATCGACATAAAAGAACCAGACTACTACTTATTAACATTCCTTATGTACTAGTGCAACTATGCTGCTTGCTCCACTTTTACTTCATCCCGAGAGAGCAGCTTAAGCTATCAAATCAACACTGACATAATGCTTTTAAAGTAGTGAGACCTCGACCATATTTACCTCGTTAATGTATCACAAAACTTTAATGTAAGGAATCATTTTTTCCTGCAACACACTTGTTTCAAAACTTTGAGTATAATTTTGGTCAAAATATTGTGAGCTGGAAACCAAGAGACAAACAGCCTCAGGGTGGTTAGTTTTATTTCAAACTAACAACACTCCCATTAGCTGTAAATAAATATAGTATGTACTTTATGTAAAACACTTTTTAGCACTGATACTGTAAGCATGTTGGTCTGCTAAAGAAAGTATGTAATACAAACGCATTCATTCAAAAGATTATATGTTTAAAATGAGATCTACACCAACAGGTAACAGCCAGTGTGTAGACTTAACCTGGGCTGCGGTAAACTGCAGGTAAACTAGCAAATTAACAATGTGGCTTATGTGTAAGTACAAGAAAGAAGATCTGCTATCAACCACCTGCCTGCTCCCTGGCTGTTTGGCTACTAGTCTATTCTGTTGTTTACCACACTGTCAAACTCAATGCTAACATCATTTTCCCAGTCCTGTGTGACAAATATGTGGTTTTAGAAATCCTGGTTGATTATGATGAGTCATATAAATAACTCACATTACATATAATATTTTATATGTAGCTCCAGGAGCTCCATGCCCGTTTCCCACAACTTAGACACTATTCCAGAGTCAGGAGAGCTTATTTTTGACATTTTATGACAGTATTGACAGTATCAATATAGATTTGTTGGCTAAAAGTGTAGCTATTTTGCAATCAAGCAGTTGAGGGTGTAAAATAAAAGTGAAATGAAAATTATCTATGGATGTTCATTTTCCTCAAATGAACCAAATTTTTATTTATTTAACGTAATCTGTCAAGAAATCATGCACTTCTTAAAAAACCTGAAAACATTTTTCATCACTTTAAAAACTGTATGTGTCACTAAAATAACCATATATACATATTCATACTGAAGGTTATGTTTATAAAACAAGGTTACTAACAGAATAGTGAGCACATGTTTTCTTGTCTTATCCTCTCTGCAGGATCAACTGATCACTTCAAGAGGGCAACTTTTTTTGACCTTTTGTTTGTCTGTTTGACAAAGATAATGAACTGGTTCCTATATATACATTTCTGCTCTATTGGAGCACTCAAAGTACTTGTCTTATTTACCCATTCAAAAAAGCACTATTTCTATGCTCTTTCTACTGAACATTCACACTCCAACAGGTGTGGAGTGTCAGAGAGGGCGGAGTTAGTATCTTATCCCAGGATAGTTGACATGCAGGCTGAAGCAGACTAAGATTGAACCGCCATCCTTGTAATTACTAGGTAACCTGCGCTACCACCTGAGCTACAGCCTTCTCCACAGTGCTGAGGCTTCAACTGATGTCTAGCCTTCCTGAAGTTGTTTAGCAGGCATTCATTTTCTAACCTACAGTGAAACTTCTTTCTACGGTAGCTGACAAAACAATACAGAGGAACGGGTGTGAAGATCAACAGCAGGGTAGAGGGGATCTTTGAAGGTTGTTTTGAAAGTGTGGAGGTGAATGAGGCTACCAGAATAAACTCTGTAAAAGGACAAAGTGCCAGCTTCCCAATCCAGATACACCCCAACCCGACTGCAGCGCAAACACTGAGATGATACACAGACCTTCTCTTTGTTGTGCTCAACAAAACAACCATCATCAGAGCAAATCAGACACCAAGACTTGTTGTTTTGTCCCAGCTTGCAGTCATCCACATCTCCTTTCCTGCCAATGCTTCTGTATGTTAACCCAACACAAAAGGGCTCTGACACCTCCATCTCCAGGTAGCAGCGCTCTTTTAGTCCCTGCTCACACAGCACTTGCTGACAGCAATCAAACCTCTCTGTATAATCAGGATAAGCCTGCTCCTCCTCCACCCAGGTTACATTTCTTTTGTCTTCAGAGAGCAGCAGGTTCTTGTGAGATGTGTTGGAGTCCAAAGTGAGCGCACAGGCATCTGGAGGTAAGAAAACACTTATATAGTCAGTAAAGACTTTAATAGTATACCGTTTGTCCACCATTGGCAGCATGAAGTACAGAGCTGTTGGGCAGTAATTAAAAAAAATCCATCAAAAGAAAGTTGTTCCTGAGTTAAAAGTCAACATTCTTCTCAAAATAACATTTCTGAATACATGAGTGATGTTTATTTTTCCTCTTAAAGGCAGAACCATGACAGGAATGTTTAAAATCCATTACAATGAAGTTAATGTACATGGAATTGATCTTAAAAAGAAACAATGTATTTCTACGATTCTTAATATTTTATTGCTGTCCTTCAATATCCAGTATTTTTACATGTACCATTAGATCTAATAAGTCTAAATCCTCTCTTACAGAAAACACCATGTAAAGAGGACCCACTGAAACGGATGGTGAATGTTTGTGGTGGTGTGGTAGAGACTGAGGGAGGCTCCTCGCTGGAAGCTCAGGTGAAACACAGAAAGCTGCTTTAAAACAAAAGTTCTGCCACATTAACCTGAAATGAGCATGTCGTAATTAAGTCCTGTAGGATCTTAATGCCTTTAGAATTCAGACATTGCAACATTCAACAAACAGATTCCTGTAGATACTCACATTTCTTCAATCCTGGGTGTATCCGGTGACTTCCACCATGTTCAAAACTGTGGAGGAAATTGAGTTTAAGAAATAGAAATGGAACTATTAATTAGTAATATGTGCATCTATTCTGTTCACCACCCAACATCCAATATTGGTTTCTTGCTGGCCAAGAAAACAGAGTGATGATAAAGCTGAGTGCATGCTGACCCCAGCAGC